TTTATACTTCTAAGAAGCTGGGGAACTTGGAAAGAAAAAGTGTATTGAGGATTTTTTTTTAGTATCTACATTGGCCATATGAATATTTTATTTTTTAAAAAATCCCAAGTGACAACATTTTCCCATTTTTAAGTTAGTAATTTCATTTTTAAAATGTGATTCATATCTTGCTGTTGAGATTTTAGGTTCCTTATGTATTCCATGGGACATTTTAATCCTTTTGTGTGATCATTTGATTGTTTCAGGGTCTTGTCTGTACTTCCCTCAGGCATACATTTTTGGACAAGAATAATTCTAAACTCAAGCAAATCAAGAGAGAAATTCCCTGTATCACTTTCATCGCTACACAGGAGGCCCTGAGTTAGTGGTCTCCTTGCACTAGCTCAGGTCTCAGAGGAGCTGAGCCAGGCACCCTCAGAAGCCCCCTACTCAGCACTCTCTCTCCTGCCAGGATTCTGACCACTCCCACCTCCCTTTCCATGAAATCCCAGCCTCTGAAGAGAACCTGCCTCACTAAAGCTGCCCAGACTTTCCACCACTGGCCTTTCACTTGAGTGTTTCTTCTTCACCTAAGGTGGGTCAGCCCAGGGTGTTGGACAGGTTGCTAACTCTCTTTTGTCCTCCAGTGAGCTGTATAGTGGAGACCCTCTCATTTACCTAGTGAGGGTGGCTACTCTTGGTCATCTGAGTTAGTTATATGAACCACATGATATCATTAGGGAGATGGTCTTCTCTGACATCATCTACCCCAGCCAGGTCACCATATAAATAGAATAATCATCCTAGGATACACTGCACCTGAGTGTGTGTGAAGCATTGGAATTGAAGCTAGACAAAACACAACAAAACAGAATATAAAATGATCACCAGTCTCTTAAATAATGGTAGAGAAAAACAGCAGGAGAAGTAAAACTTTTACCCAAGTTTAGCGGGTTAGGTCAAATTGGAGAAGAGAGATAGAACAGGTTTGTGTGACAAGTGAAAAATGTAGTCAGTGAAACTAGATATTGATTTGCATATTTATTAAACAGTTTCTCTAGTATGAGAAACTGAAAGTGTAAATAAGTGTTAAAACGATTAAAATGAACAATTGATAATTTGAAATAGGAAGAAAGGTCCAAAGGGGTAGGGAAGGTGGGAGGGGAAGGGGAAAGGAAAGAAGGGAAAGGAAAAATTATGAGAAAAGAAACAAAATGAAAATGAAGTCTGTGTAAATAGGGAAGGGTGGAGGGAGTGAAGGATGCATGGGTAATGGGGAAAAAATAAGAACCAAGACACATCATAGACAGGTACAAGCACCCAATGATAAATGTAAATGTATTGTAAACCTAAAATGTACCAATAAAAGAACTTAAGAATTTTTTGAAAAAGAAATTTTGGTCACGTTTAAACCAACCAGAAAAAAAAATAGCTGCTGCAGCCAAACCACTGTGCTGAGAAGACAGGGAACCAAAGCTCAGATCAAACTCACACAGTGCTCTCAGGCAGAAAGGCAGGGAACAGATTGTCTTCAATGGAGTCAGAATTCAGAGTAACAGGCAGAGACTGGGAGACTGTGGCAGAATTCACAGAGGAGTCCAGGCTGGTGAAGGGGTCACATGACATGAGTCCTCCACAGGTCAGGTGGGACCCAGAGGGAGAATCGGAGGTACAGAGGACCAGGCTGCAGTTGAGAGCAAGCAGTGGAGTGGGTGAGGTGGAGGGAGAGGAAGCTGGGACAGATAGGCTCACACCAGGGATGGGCCTGGGTGTGACATGCTGATATGCAGGGGCCCTGCAGACTTGAGGATGAGGGTCACAGTTTCTCACCATCACTCAAACAGATCTCCCTGAGGAATGGGATGGGGTGGGCACCTCTGGAAACTCTATCATCCAGTGATAAGAAGTCTGACACTATGGCAACAAGTGAAGCCAGGGAAATGTTACATTTATTCCTAACTTTTAAGAAAAATATTCTCAAAAGTTGGTGACCTGAAAAAACCAAATTCTTGCATCAATATTTTGCCCAGAGTTTAAGCAGGAGCCCACATACTGTTTTCTGCAGTGTTTGGGGTGAATCACACTCCACCAACATGTACCTGGGTTTCCTCCCCATGCCCCAACCCACATTTGTTATATTTGTCTTTCTTTCCTCAGTCATTCTAAAAATGGGGAGGGGAAAGAAAACTACACATGGGCTCACTCAAATTTGGAGCCTGAAAATGTTGATTTGATTGAAATAGAAAGGAGAGTGGTGGTGACAAGCAGTGGTGCAGGAGTCCAGCTGAGAGGTGGCGAACAAAGGACACTAATGTACACCTAGAGAGGAGGAAAAGTCAAGGGTTCTATTCCAGATTCTTGAAAATGATGAGTGGATGTCAAATGATATCACCACCAGAATGATTATTATGTGGGTAATACATTTATAATTAGCTACATTTGGCCACTCCATGATGTGCATATACCAGAAAAGATCATGGCAACCAAATATATCTGTCAATATAAAATCAGTAATTTTAAAGTTAACTTCCCTACACTTTTATATACTTTCCCACTAATAAAATAGCATAAGGCATGTTTCCCTCTTCTCCCAATGTGAGCCCATGTACAGACATGAGGCGAGGCCAGTGCAGCAAGCAGTATCTCTACAACAGCTACAGGTCCTCAAAGGTGCTGCTGGTTCTCAACCCCAGGCTCCAACTCAACCTGTTCTGCATACCCAAGTGCATCTATTTAAAATCTGACTCTCAAATGCTGTCTAAACAAACAAGCACAAAGCAGAGGATGAAAAACCCAGACATAATTTGATATTACTAATTGAATGATTTCTTCAGATTTTCATAATTTGAACAGTATTTCCATTAAGCAAGTCAATGCATAGATGTTCTCATGTTAACCCCTTTGTTCTATGATAAAAGAAAGCCTTCAGAATTTCTTCACAGGCTTTATTCCAGAGCAAAGCCCCACTGCTCTGGGGAGCAGTTACATGTAAAGCAGAATCCTCCTGCAGGGTTCTCTCTAACATTGCACAGCCTGGAGGAGCTGTCTCCACAGCTCTTCCTCCCTGCAGATTGGTGCACCCTAGGGAGGCAGTGAGGAAATGCCAGGTCCTGGCCTCAGGGGACTCTGGCTCTGTCCTGCTGATGCTCTGCTCTCTCTGGTGCATGGCCCAGGGTCTCTGCTTCACTGTCCTCTGCATTCAGTAGACTGGTGTGCAGTGTCTATCCCACTGGTCAAGTGTACATTGTGTGTGAGATGTGATTGCCCTTGATCTAGAGATGAGCAGGAGGCTCAGCTAGATGCTCACTGAGCATTGCAGTGTTCTTATTTTGAACTATAGGTAATCTCCACCACACAAGTTGATACTTAGTCATAGTGCTCCTGACTGAACTTGGTCATAAATCTTCTGGTGAAGGTTGCAGCAGGTGGGGGGAAGTCTTTCCCCCTGAAGGGAACATTCCTCTTTGTTGAACTTATTTTGTGAGGAAAGTGCAGCAGCCATGACCAGAGGCTCTGCAACTTCTGTTACTGTTGGTTTTTCTGATGTAGACACTGATTGTAAGGGAAGATGAATTGATCTCACTAAGCCCCATGTAGAGATCATCTCCTGACCATATTTTTTCTCTACAGCTCTGAGCTGTCCCAAAATTATTTCCTACCCATTCCCAGTGTTTTCAGTCTAAAGTGCCTGTCTGTGGCAACAAGGGGTTAAACTTATATAACATTCTTGACAGGCTCCTGGCCAGAATGTGAGCTCCTGTTTTCTTTAAGAAATCAGATTTGTGTTTATTTGTTGGCCCACATACTCTGACCCATGTTTTAGTGTCAGGCTAACACCTTTTCCTGGCAGTGAGCATCAACCTTGGTAGCTCCAGTTGTCCAGACTCCTCTCTCTCTCTCTCTCTCTCTCTCTCTCTCTCTCTCTCTCTCTCTTTTTAGCACTGTGAAGTCCTCACACCATATCATATCCATTCTCTAGTCATGCACTGAGGGTGGTCTTCACTTGGTAAGACAATCAGTTCCTGTATGGGTGTCAGTTATTGGAGGCTGATCAGACATCCAATCACCTGAACTAGTTTATGGCAGACAGACTTAAACAAAAAGACAAGACTAGACCTTAATGAATAACTGGGGCTCCAGGACAGTAAGAGCTCTTATCTGGCTAAGAAACCATCTCTTGGAGCTTCCCACTATTTATTGATCATGCAGCTTTCAGAAGAGGTAATGGGTGATACAGGGAAGAGTGAGACGGAGAGCTCTGACTTGACCAGGGTCATAGCAACAAGGAAACTATATATTCCAATATGAACAGATCATTGATTAATGGGAAAATTGTTTCTTCCCATGGACTCATTTTTGCCTCTGTAGGAGTTTTCTGCACTAGTCATACTGCCCTTAGCTGTGCTATTTTCTTGTCATCCAAGACATCACAGCATCAAGGATTACTGACACTTCTACTCTAATAAGTGGAGTAGGGGTTGTTTTATTCATATTCAGGCAGAGCACTGTGAGCTAATAGGCACTCAGTGTTTTACTATGAAAAACAAATTAATGAATTTGTACCTCGCTCAGGGTTGTCTCCATCATGTGCCTTCAAATGAACTTTATGTATTGCAAATATACACTAACGAATAAAGACAGGAAACAAGAAATGTAAAAGTTATATTTAAAAGGCATAATTGTCAAAGTCTGTCCTCTTCCTTCTGGCCATATATTAGACACTGATATCATGGAAAGACCAAACATCAGCTTTCCTAATACTTTCCTGTTGCTGGGCTTCTCAGAGTTTCTGTGGCTGAAGAGGTTCCTCTTTTCACTGGTCTTCCTCTCCTACATCCTCACCCTGGTGAGGAACAGCTCCATCATCCTCCTCTCCCTGGTGGACCCCAGACTTCAGAGGCTCATGGTCTTCTTCCTGGAAAACCTTTCTGTTGAACCTCAGTGTGACCTGTGCCACTGTGCCCCAGCTGCTGAGAAATCTGTGGGGACCAGACAAAACCCCTGCCTCCTGGGTCTGCATCATGCAGGCCTATCTTTTTAACTGGAATGCCTGTGCTGAATGCATCCTGCTCACCATTGTGGCCATTGATTGCTATGTGACCATCTGCCAGCTCCTACAGTACACTCTCATCATGCATCCCTGGGTATGTGTGCAGATGGCAGCTGCCTCCTGGTCCAGCAGCCTGACCAATGCTCTGCTCCAAGCCACTTTTGCTCTCCATCTCCCCCTCTGTGGGCACCACAGCCTGGACCACTTCTGTGAGATATCTGTTCTCATCAAGCTGGCCTGTAGGAACACCACTGCTAATGAGCAGGCCTTGTCTATTGGAGCCATACCATTTGGAATGGTGGCTCCCTTGATAGTGGTCATCTCCTACACCCTCATTGGCAGGACTGTACTGAAGCCACCTTCCACTGAAGGCAGGCAGAAGGCACTCAGCACCTGCAGTTCCCACTTGCTGGTGGTCACCATGTACTTTGGAGGAGGCATCTACATGTACTTCCAGACCCCAGGCAAGAGCACACAGGCCAAATTCTTGTCAGTTTTGTACTGTGTTATCACCCCAGTGCTCAAACCACTCATCTACACCCTGAGAAACCAGGATGTGAAGAGAGCACTGAAGAGGATCCTGCAATCCCCAAGTGGGATGAAGTGTATAAAACCCAGATGATCTTGGCCTGTCACCTGGAGCAAACAAATAAACACATCAATAAACACTGATATATCATTTCTGCTTTTCTAAATGAGCATCTATAACCTACCTCAAAGAAAACAGTTCCCCTCTCCAAATATTAACTAATTAATAACCAGAAAATTTTTAAGCTAGAAAATTCTTCCTTTTGAAATCTAATATAGAGCCCTTTTCCTTTTTCTTGATCCTTCTCAAGCATTTACTCACAATAGACACAATGGGCTTCCTGGTTCATTTATCTATAGAAAAAGAAAAGGATACCTGCTCATCCATGTTCACTACAGTCAGTATTCACAATAGCCAGGGTGTGTAATAAAACTAAGTACTCATCAATGGATAAATGAAAATAAAATGTAGTGTGTGTATGCAAAGGAATATTATTTTGACTTGCAAAAACTAGTTTTTCCATTTATGACAATATGAATCAAATTGGAGAACATTATAATAACAAGCGAACTAAACTAAATGGAAAAAGACAAACGTTTCCAATGCTCTATGTGCAATATGAACAATTAACTCCTTAAAACAAGAATTATAGCAGAAGTTACTCTTTGAGATAGTGAAGAGATGACCATTAAAGAACATTTATATTACCATGGCTTTGCTTTAATACATTTTTAAGAAAATCTGGACCAGAAAGTTAGGCAAATTGAACTTTGAAAAATGTCAGCCACCTAATGACATGAACAACTCTAGTCCTCATATTCAAAGGAAGAATGTTAATAAACATCTTTTTCATCTGATAAAGGCTCTGTATTTTTTATTTAAGTGTGTCTTAAAAATGAATAATTGTAACATCTTTTTCATTTTTTATTGAAACTAAAATACTGATATTAACTAAGGGATGAGAAATAAATGGGAATTGAGGGCTGCAGGGGGATAAACTTGAAGGATGATGGAGGGATCCTGAGTCTCAGCAGGTTTCTTGTCTCTAGAGGGACGGGACCATGTTGCCTACAGTATCATGCACCTCATTGCTCTCTGCTTGTTCACTGCTCTCTAAAAAAGTTTCCTTGCCTTTGGAGGGGATATTTCATCACGCAGCAATGCTTTTTAGTAATAGTCAGATTGGGAAAATAATTGTTTACTTTGAAGTATAATAAGAGATTGTGAAATGGGAGTGAGGCAGAAAAGTGGCTGGCAATTGGCCACTGGGCTTTCAGGTAGATGCATGACAAAAGATCACAGATGAAAACTGAAGCATATTTTCTGTGATGCTTTGTCTTGACTGTGAACTTGATTGATTTGAGAGATGCCCTGGCCCAAAGGCTCCTCTAAGACTCAAGGCAATCTCTTACCCATGAACTGTAAAATTCAAACAGGAAGTTACAGAGTCACAAGAAATTTTCTACAGTATAACCACTCTAATTCTAAAAGGAAGGGACAGGTAAATAAAAAGGATTTGAACCAAAGAAACTCCAAAACCCAGTAGAATAAGCACTAAGTTTTGTGGTTCTACTTGTGGCATCCAACACATGTGGTGATGAGATATGAATTTCAGAAGGTTTTAGTGGACCCATCCAGTAACCTTTTGTCTTGCATCCCATATGGTGTCCCATTTGGCCTGGCTCTGCTTGCTACCTGTAGCTTTCCTCAGTAGAAATTCCATTTTCCTGACATTTCTAACTTCCCATGGTCTCCATGTACCAGTACATTCATTTTCACAGCTTCACACACCACACTCATAAGGACATTTTGTTTGGCCTCCAATATCTCCTTTTGAAAACTCAGAGGAAGATACCATGACTCCACAACTCTTATTTTCTAGATGTCTGAAAAAATGTCAACATTGGATACCAGCAGTAGCCAGGGCCTCGGGGAACAAAGCTATAGTGGCTTCAGATTGAATGTCCCTGAGTATAGTGAAATGAATCCCAGGAACAAATACTTGAGTAGCACTTCTGAAGCATGTGCCATGAATTGCTACCCTTTGACAGCCTTGAACCTGTGATGGGTAGGACATTTCTCATTCTTGAGATGCCCTCAAGGATTCTTTCTTCTGATACCATTCAAAGTTCTTGGCATCCTTTTAATGGTGCTTGTCTCTCCATCAACCACACACCATTTGGTTCCTAGGTAGTTGTTGGGGTGAGCAAAATTTGACTTTTTCAAATCTTTCTGATCTGTTTTTGGCTCCTGCATCTCTGTATACAAGTCAGTAGAACACTTATCTCTAAATGTTGGGCTGCCTTGTAACTTATTCTGCAAAATCAGTTTGTTACCACCTTTAATCTCAGCCTTCACACAAAGCCACAGGATGAGAACAACATGTCAACAAAAGATTTGTTACAATGTAACATGAATGGTCTCTAGTCAAATTCCAAAATAAGTCTTCATTCTCATCTGAAACTTCATGGGCCTGGGCTTTGCTGTCCACATTCCTTTAAGTTTTCAGGTCTTCTGGGCTTTGGCCAGAGTTGCATGTCCTATTGGATATGTTGGCACAAGCCTGTATTCCCAAGACTATGGCAGTATGAGAAAGGAAGATTAAAATTCAACACCAACCTGGGAAACTCAGCAACTTAGTGCAAGACCCTGGCTCACAAAAATACAATTTTAAAAGAGCTGGGAATAAAGCTCAATGCAAAGGCCCTGTGTTCAATCCTCAGTAACAGAAAAAATAATTTACTACCAGGCTGGACCTAAAACATTCAAGGTCCACTCTGGTCATCTCTGAAGTATTCCAAACTCTTACCCCCACAAACCAGGCACAAGGCTTTTGAACCACATGGTTAAGGATAGTCATAGCAATGACACAACGTCTCTGGTATAATTTTTTATATTGCTCAGCTTTTCCCTTTCTTGGACCAAATGTCTGACACTCTCAACTTAATGGAACACAGGTTTATTTTGACCACATTTTCATTGGTTTCAAACCATGGTTGATTGGCTTCCAAGCAGAAACATCATGCCCAAAAGATATAGCAAAGCAAAGCAAAGCTCATCACTGCATAGTAGGGAGGAAGCAGAGCACAGAGGAAAAGCACTCACAAGAGTTATAACCTCCAAAGACACAATTCTAGTGACTGTTCTGCAAATGATCCCACCTCCTAATAACACGTTCAGCTGTGGACACCCTTGGCCTAATTCAAAGAGGAGTGCAGCAGTCTAATGATCCAATCACCTACCCATGAGTCTGTTAATGCAGTTACATTGGCAATTAAAAGTAACTCACACACTGTACATAAGGAGAAAACACTTACATACTATATGTCTGAAAACAGGTTAGTACCCAAAATATATAAAGATCCCTGATATTTCTCAAAAGTGGACATTAAGATGGTCAACAGGAATATGTACTCAACATCACTAATCCAATGAAAAAATAAACCAAAGTCATCACATCATAGCACCTTACACTTCTAAAATTGGCCATGACTAAAGACAAATGATAGCAAATGTTGGGCATGAAGGAAGAGAAGCCTTGAGCACTACTGGTAGAAATGTCAATTAGTACAGCCACTATGGAAAACATAATACAGATGTCGCAAAAGCTTAAATTTATAAATGCCTTCAGTGACAGTTGTAACACTTTTGGATATGTATATAAG